CATGAAGTTTGACGATTTCCTTAAGGTAGGTTCGAGTCAGCTTTCCCATCTTGTCTGTCTCTTTGATTGGTAGAAAATGGGCGGACTTGGTCAATCTATCTACTACTCCCCAAATAGTGTTAAAACCACTCGGTGTTCGGGCAGTTTAGTGATAAAGTTCTTAGTGATCATTTCCCACTTCCACTCTGGTATCCTTTGTTGTTGGAGTAATCATGAGGGCTTTTGATGCCCGACTTTAACTTTTGAGTAGGTCAAGCACTTTCTTACATACGTAGCGATTTCTGCTTTCAAGTTCGGCGACCAGTACAACCTTTTTAGGTCCTGGTACATATTTTCGGAGCCTGGATGGACATAATATCTCGTTGAGCTTCATACATGACTAAACTCTTGATTTCTATGAATTTTGGCATCCCAATTCGGTCCATGAAATATCGTGTCCCCTCATTACTAAGCTCGAATTATTTTTCCATTCCTCGAAGGGTTTCGTCTGCAATGTTCTCTTATTTTACAACTTCGAGTTGAGCTTCCCGTATCTGCGTACTTAGATTGGAATGAATGGTCATGGTCAGTGTATGTATGTGTCCGGATTTCACATGCTCCTTACGGCTCAGAGTGTCTTCCACTACATTAGCCTTGCCAGTATGATAATGAATTTCACAATCGTAATCATTTAGTAGTTCGACCCATCTTCGTTGTCTCATGTTGATTTTTTGGTCGAAGATATGGTGGAGGCTCTCATGTTCTGTAAAGATAATACTTTTAGTACCATACAGGTAGTGTCTCCAGATCTTTTGGACAAAAACCACAGCTCCCAGCTCAAGATCATGAGTGGTGTAGTTGACCTCATGTACTGTTTGTTGTCGTGAAGCATAATCAATTACCTTGCCTCTTTGCATTAATACACAACCCAATCATTGATGAGACGCGTCATAGTAAACGACAAAGTCTTTTGCTCCATCAGGGAGTAACAGGATTTGTGCACTGTACACAATATGTGTTTTAATTTATGGATCACAGCTTCATGCTTATCTTCCCAGTTGAATTTCACATCTTTATGTGTTAGTGTAGTAATAAGCTTGGTTGTTTTTGAGAAATTTTCGATAAACCTTCGATAGTAACCAGCAAGTCCTAGAAATTGGTGCACTTCAGTCAGCATTCTCGATGCCTCCCAATTATTGATTGCTTTATTTTTTGTGGGGTCCACGTGTATTCCTTTATTGATAACGACGTGCCCTAGGAAATGCACTTCTCTTATCCAAAATTCACATTTAGAAAACTTTGCATACAACTTCTCCTTTCTCAACAGTTCCAAAATTAATCTTAAATGTTGGTCATGTTCCTCCTTTTTTGTAAGTATATCAAGATGTCATCAATGAATACAATCACGAACTTATCTAAGTAAGGCCTACAAACACGGTTCATTAAATCCATGAACACTGATGGGGTATTCGTTAAACCGAAGGGAAAAACAAGAAACTTGTAGTTATTGTACCAAGTTCTAAATGAGGTCTTTGGTTTGTCTGCTTCCAATACCTTAAGTTGGTGGTATCCAGACCTCATATCAATTTTGGAGTAATAGCTAGACCCTTGCAGTTGATTAAGCAAATCATCGATTCTAGGGACTGGGTATCGGTTCTTTTTATCGTCAACTTATTTAGTTATCGGTAATCAATACACATTCTAAATGATCCGTCTTTCTTCTTGATGAAGAGGACTGGGGCTCCCCAAGGTGGAAACTTGGTCTTATGAAACCCTTGTCCAGAAGTTCCTACAATTGGCTTGAAAGTTCTTATATATCGAAGGGAGCCAATATTTAGGGTAACTTAGCGACTGGTGCGGCGCGTGGGATTAGGTCGATCCTAAACTCGACTTGTCGGTTCGGGGGTAATCCAAGTAGATCCTCGGGAAAAACATCGCGAAAAGAACATACTTGAGGTATGTCCTTTAATTCTTTGTTTCGCTCTTCTTATCCACTATGTGAGCCAGAAAGGTGCAACCTTTCTTATGTAGATATTTCTGAGTCTTTGTGCATGAGATGAGTTTAAGGTTTTTGAAAGATCTAGTATGTCCAAGAGTCATTATAGAATGATATTGTTAATAATATATGATCCTATATGGTCACACCATATAGAAAGTTATCATCAATTGATTATTTATTAGTATAACTTGATGGAAATACTATTTTACTAATATCAACACTTGTATTTAATTGGAAAATTATTATTTCATGGAAATACTATTTTACTAATTGGGAATTTATTATTTGTGGAAATAATATTTATTAGAGAAATAACAATTTATGAAATATATCATAAATTATGATTATTTATAAGTTATATTTAGATATCTTAATAAACTAGTTCAATTTATATAAAAGGTTGTTTTATATAAAATAAGATATTTATATATTCATATTTATATCTTAATAAGCTAGTTACAATTTATATAAAAGATAGTTTTATATAAAATAAGATATTTATATTTGACTAGTTATATATATATATATATATATATATATATATATATATATATATATATATATGTTGGGAATTCTTTATAAAAATGATTGATTTTTATAAAGATAACATGTATGCGTATAAAAACTAGCCATGAGATAACTTTTGTCTTCTTTTGGACATGCCTTTTTTGAAAAAATGGGAGGAGACAAGGCATGCATGTCATGCTTGGGATAAAGTTGTCTCTCCTGTTTCTTTATGGTCTCCCTTTGCTTTTTGAGCATTATATAAGGAAGGGCATGGAAGGGTTTTGGACACACTTCTTGCAAGTCTTCTTCTTCCTCTTCTTAGAGCCAAATCCGAGAGCTCCATGCTCTCTAGAGGATTGCCAAGTTTCGGATTTTGAAGGCTCTTCTTCTTCTCGATTCTCTTGCATTTTAATGTTAGAAAAAACCCATTTGTTTCTTCACCTTTGAACATATATTTGATATATATTTCAAAGGCTTATGAAAAACAAATTACAAGTGAATACTAACATGTTTTGATGGTTCTACTCTTTCTTGGTGGATACTTGTATAGAACTTTTGCTTTAGAGTTTCATGCCACTCTTCATCAACATCCAACCTCCCATGAGGATCAAAGTCTTCAATGGTTGTTATGATTTCCCTTCTATGGTTGTTTTAATCTTTCTAACTCTTGCAAAATGATCCTTGGTGGGTATAGGATAAAATAGTTTTAGTTTTATTCAACATTTTAAAGCTTCTGTTCTTACTTTTACTAGTTGTGAAACTGAATTTTTGAATAAAAACCTAACAGTTTTTCCCCGATTTATCCCCATAAATGGTCATGATCTCTCCGTTGGGTAAGGCCAATAACACGACCTTCTCATAGAACAAAATCTTGGTGTGATGAGGAGCAAGCCAATCCATTCCTATAATAACGTCGAAACTTCCTATAGGAATAGTCAGGAGATCTATATTGAAAGTGCTATGAGAAAGTCGTGCGATTTGCCTAACCCAATGGAGAAAGTCGTGCTATGAGAAAGTTGCTTAGCCATATTCTTGTCGCTCTCAAAGGTTGTAGGTCTTGAAGACATGACCATACCCTTGATCTTGGGCGACAGACCCCAAATATAGTGTTCCACTTTCACATGTTCAGGGGTTACTAGAGTTGGGCACAACAAGGAAAGGTCGTTAAAACTGGTCGTGTAGGCTTTAATGTCTGAACCTTTCATCTTAAGGTTCCACAACTCGTTTTCCAAATTCTGAACTTTGTTTATATGACAATACTCTTCTATCAGCATGTTTTCAGTTCACTCCAGGTGAAGGAGTTGGTAGGGATAATGCCCAACGACTTAACCTGGTCATTCCAATAAATCAATGTTGCATCCATGAAAGTACAGGCAGCAAAGTGCACCTTGGTATCTTCATCGCAGTAACTGATCTGAAATACAAACTCTATCCTTTTAAACCACCGTGTGAGACCGATTACACCTTCATTCCCATAGAAGTACTTGGGTTTTCATTTCATCACGTCTTTATAAGTGCAGAAGCTTTGAGTTTCATTAATGTTAATGTTTGAACTGCTTCGGGGTCCAGTCTCGTGCCCTTAAACTTCTATGATAGGTGCCCTTTCATCCACAATGGTAAGATGATCTGAGATTAGTTTCTCCAGCTCTACTACGGTTTGAGGAAGTTTCGTCACAGGTGGTGCAACAACAATTACGTATCCATAAATAGAAACACCATTGGCATTGAGCTGGGTCGGCCTCTCTTGGGTTAAGGTATCGTGGGTGGTACTGTTGGTTCGAACCTTTAGATTGGAGTCTATTTTTTCATTTGTTCGTTATTCTTTCTTGGGGGCATGGTGATGATCTATTTGATGATTTTAATTGTAAGCGTTTCATCGATCATGGTTTCAGTTATTCACAATGTGTTACAATTGTTTTCGAGTGAAATCAAACAAATTTACACAAAAAGCATCTCATCACAAACATCATAATAATATATGCTTCATATATTTCACATAATCATTCTAAGGGTTTACATTTAGTTGTGTTACAACAAACTAACTACATGCTAAGGACGACAATTTGACATATTTACAATAAACCGACCACACAAAATTTGCAAGACTACAACGATTTCCTGCATTCCCTTCCCCTTACATCATAATTTATATTATCCGAGGGTCACTAGCAACCCATATCCTATTACATATCCATAATTTTTATACCAAAATTGGCAATCACCCATGACTTGCCCAAATGCATTCACTAACCAACCTTCACTTCAATCCAAACTATCCAAATCCAAAGTTGCGAGACAATGCATCCAAGATCTCTTGGATCTGTTCCTCCATAATACCTAGTCATTCCGCCACTCCTCTAGCTCCAACATCAGCCTCGATGGCCCTTTCCAGAGCCTCTTGAATTTGTCCCTCAGTCTCTAGCCTAGGAATCTCCTTAGTGACCATAAATTCGTACATAAAATGAGTCCCGCTTTGATCTCTCTTCATGTCCTCCAGATCTTGTCCCCTCTAAGCTCACATATCCTCTATCTGTTTGGCCCGTAGAGCACCATTGCCTCCTATAGTATGTATCTCACCACCCATGGACTCGACCTTGTGGCTAAGTCGCATGGTGCGGTCAAATAAGTATGACACCATATCCTCCTCAGTACTGGTTGGGGGCTTCACTCCCAAGCATTTCCCTACATAAAATTGACGGATTCATCCCTGGTCTCGGACGCATTCATTAACTACACCATCTATCCAAGTAGGATCATGCATCTTCCTCTACTGATTCGCACATGAGGCTTCAAGAATAAGGTACGGTGCAGGCTTGACAAAGGCATCGTGGTACGGGTGAATGTTCCTCGTGAGATTCCGAAAACTGTGAACTCGCATCCTAGGCTTCTTCTTCTTAATGCCTCCACACGTAGGGAGGGTCTTTTGCACGTACCTCCGATTACAAGGTATACCAGAGCCCAGGTAGTAATAGGTAAGAAGTGGTGATGCAACAGGTTCTTCTTCCTCTATAGGTGTTACTTCTCCCATTGAATTGTATGCTTCATAATCCATCACTTCTTCAAGCTCCTATCCAATCTCCTCTGGATCCTCATTAGGATCCTCCTCAGGCTCCTACTCCATTTCCTCTGGATCCTTGCTAGGATCCTTTTCTGGCTCGCTATCCTCAATCAGTATCGGCATTCTTGCAGCAAGTGGATCAGGGAAGTAAGGATCTTCTGGTATGTGGTAAGGCGAGTCCACCTCTTGATTGTTCTCGTCCCACTCTTGGTGATTTCTCCTATAAATAAATTTAATTGTCGTTAGTATTTATTTATTCATAGTTTTCCACATTTTTTAATTATTCATGATTATATTTCCATTTTATTTGTATTTTTCCAATCGTTTAAACATATCAACTAATTCACTTAGCTTCAACTGTAACAACGAAAATTTTCAAACCAAAATTCTCATTTTTAAACACATAAAAACTCATAATATATTTCTCAAAACATAAATTTTCAAATTTCAACACAAATCCACATAAAATGTCACTATCCCAGAATCATCCACAAAGTCTCGGAATCGGTGTGTACAATCAAGCTGGTGCCTTCACGTGATCTTGAGAGGTACCTGAAACACATAACACATAACCCGGTAAGCCCGAAGCTTAGTGAGTCCTCCAAAATACCACACATATCTCATTATCCTCTCATGGCTGTGCTCAAATAAGACCCTCCAGTCAATGTGTCTCAGTGGAACCCTCCGGTCCCACAACTCAGGTGGACCCTCCGGTCCTAACTCAGTAAGCTCAAAATAATACACAACATAAATCACAAAGAAATAATGTAAGATATCACAATACTCAATATAAACACATAAGACCCTCTGGTCACACATATAGATTACCACTCTAGGAAAGTATAGTGAGAAGACTCACCTCGTAAGCAAGCAAGTAAATAATCTCGTACACGTATCTCGAACTAGCCTCCGCCTAATCACATAAGATAATTATCTCTAATTAACATTTAAATCCAAATATAAATAAACTAAGTTATTCTCTCTCTCAAACTCTTGAAATGGGTAAAAGACCATTTTACCCCTCCATGGTCCCCATAATCCTTGCCTTGACCAAATCCAAAAGTCAACAGAAGTCAACAGTAGAGTCAACTATCCATGTTGACCTGACTCGCCGAGTGCATCTATATGGCTCGCAGAGTCTCGATTGTTCTTTCAGAATATCACGAAAATCCAACTTAACTCGTTGAGTTGTCTCATCAACTCGCTGAGTTACCCTTGTCCAGACTCATCGGGGGAAAAAACCCTAGCCGACTCGTTGAGTCAACTTATTGACTCGGTGATTCCATTCAATATGTGTTCTCATTTAGACGTTTTAAGGAAAATCCACCACTCCAAACTCTAGATCTAGTCCCCTAAGGCTCGAATGTCACGTAAAGCTTTGATCTTTACATTCATGCATGGCATATTTGCTCCATAATGCCAATACAAGCTACAACAAGGGTTAGATGCACAAGATATTATCTCTAGCTTAATAAAGTTTGAGTCTTTGGACTCATAAGACCTCCTAATGTCCAGATCTGAGGTTTCAACCTCAAATCATGCTCAAAGGACTCAAATGACACAACAAGGATGAGAGAAAGCCTTAGAAAATCCCTAAACCAAGATCTCATAAGGAAATGATCAAGTTAGCATCTTATACCTCCAACTGAACCCAAAACCCCAATGAACCTTTAGATCCAAAGCCTCCTATTGATCCAAGCTTTGATGATCTAATCTTCTCCTTCAAAAAGTCACTAATAATCAAAAGATTAGTTTCTCTCTCAGTCTCTAGCTCAAGTGGACGATTAGGGTTTATCTCAAGGATGTAAGGTGGCTGGTGAGGCGGAAATGAGGGCTTAAGGCCCCTTAAATAGGTCACAAATCCGGGGATTTAGGGTTTCCTCACACAACGCCAACTCGGCAAGTCGGCTCTCTGACTCGTCGAGTCGGACACACAACTCGTCGAGTCACTCATTAAATCCCAAAAATAAATAAATAAATAAATGCAATACATGGGAGTCAAGATGTTACATCAATAGTGTGTAGAATCTTACCATAATAAAACTTCAGCACACAACTCGGTTTAGTTGTGGTACGACCTTCGTACTAGAGAACCTAATTGATTATTTGACTTTTAAACTCTTATTTACTTATATTTCTTCTAAATTTTAATTTGTTTATAATTTATGCATGTCACTTGTATGATTATATTTCCTTAAATTTTTTATCTTATAGACTTATACTATCAAGTGTAGTTTATAGGAACAATTTTGATCATAGAATCGTAGATCTAAGGGGAGAACCTACGCGTACTGAATATTAGACTTATATGGGTAAGTCAATTAGCGATATTATATAGGCTTTAGGAATACTTAAACCTATTAGAGTAAGCCCGTAGACTATAGTTGTTCTCTTTTAAGGAAAACAGTAATTCGCTATAGTCGTTAGCTCTGATACCAATCTGTCACACCGACGACCAACGACGGAAACGTCAGGGTTGTGACTAAACATTTTAGATCACAATCAACAACATATATTGAAATAATACCAGGATTTACATAACATTACATTCTTCCAAAATTCGAATGCGAAGAAATACATTATTTAATAAATTCAGAAGCGATAAATGTAGGATGCAACTTCCTTCAATAAAATAACAAAACAAAAGGCTACAGTAGAGCTGACTATTATTTCCAACGTCAATCCTTCATTCTCACATTGGGTGAGAGTTCTTTCGGTCACTTTAAACACCTAGAGATACATACATTTTGAAAATACATCAACAATAATGTTGGTGAGCTTTATAGGTTTTATTTTGACTCCGATCATTTTAGTAATTGAAAAATATTTTTCGATGACCAGTAATTTTTAAATGTAAAGTTCTACAAATCGTGTAATTTCAACGACAATTATTTGTTATTTTCGTGACAGCCCTTATTACCGGAACATATTTGCTTACGGAGAATTTTACCATAACAAGACGTGGTTATCGAGACGAGCAATTTTACACATTCGGCCTAAATTTGGGAGGATTAACTTACCCTAGACCTATACTTCTCTAGAATACAAATCTTCATTCTAACAATTAGCCTATAACCGACACTATAGGCGTTCCAATCCACACATGCACAAGAAAAAGGAGGAATCATGATCATTAATAACATTTCAAATAGTCGTATAGTAACAAAGAAATAAACACTTGACGCCTGTTGCCTCGACAGAAGAAATTGTACCTAGCAACCACAGGCAGAGATTATCGACTCACATAAATCTTTCGTTAACATTGGTTACGATCATTGATCGATGGATATCGATCAAATTTTTACACTTGTTACACATAAATCCCCAGTCACAAGGGAATGAAAAGTAGAAAAAGAATAATTCCAAAAATTCCAGAAAATGACATGTATCAAATTCAATAAAAACATTGATATTTGACAAAAACAATTTTCATATATTAGGTTGGAAAATTTTTTAAAAAAAATCAAACTTTTAAATAAAAAAACTTAGAACAAAAAAAATAATTTTATGTTCACTAAAGCGCAAATTTTTAATGACAAAATTTTGTATATGTTCTTGCTAAACATATAAATATTGTATTTGTCTGGCATAAACTTTAAACATTTTATTTACCCTTTTTAATTTTATATATATATATATATATATATATATATATATATATATATATATATATATATATATATACACCCAAATATATTGTTTTGATAATTTTTATTGATTTATACTTTTTTAATAATATTAAATCATTATAATTAAAAAGACAATGTAAAGGAACAATAATGCCCTTGATTCTAAATTTAAATATATATCACATTTCCTTAAAATTACTTACGATTGTAGCATGCTTCCTTATCTCAGGTTTTGGCACCTTCCTAATAGTTCCAATCACATCACAACACAACTTTTGATCGCCTATTCTCTTCCAATCATCGTTGTTGTCGTACACACACATAATTGCATCGGGTAAAATTGACTTCAACATATTCCTATTTTCCATATCTTCAATTTCGTTTATGTTGATTTCGTTGCTGTTGATTGAATTGTCAATTTGAACGTTTTCATAGCAGGGTAACTAAATCCGATTTGAAGAATTTGCTGATGAATTTGGAGTACAGGAAGAAAATTGGCATTAAGTTTGTTAGTGTTTGCAAGCTTACTGTTAGTCCACACTAAGTGTTCGATTGAATGTCAATCTACCATAACAAATATTTATTCAGTGTTGTAGATATAAAAACTCTAATGTATGAAAATGAAGTACCTTTTTTATAAACCTAGTATTAATAGAGGAGAGGTGGTGGCTTTAGGTTGTTCATTGGTGGTTGAGCGGTAGTCTAAAATTACTCTAGTACCATTCATATTGCTAAAAAGGGTGTTAGTATCTAACTGTATTTTCAACATTTTATATAGTAAATATAATCAAATATGGTTGTAGTCTGTTAGTTGTTGCATTCGCATTCAAGTTGCACCATTTTATTTGAGTGCTTTGATTAGATCGATATTATCTTTTGATAAATTGTGGGTGAATTAAGAAAGTAGTCCCTACTTATGATGTCATATAAACCTTGGTGGTGCAAATAAGAACACTTCAATTTCTTTCTATTACAACATTCTACTTCCATTTTTTTATTAGTACATTATAGTTTGAAAACTCTATCCAAAATATAGAAAGTAGAATGTTTTTATCCCAATTGTTATCTTTATTAAAAAATAGTGATTTTGTGTTAGCCTAACATATTTATGAAGTCAAATAAACTATCTATTGCTAATCCTAAATCTTTATTGCCATTTTCATATCAACATTAGAAGAAAAGTGTAAAGATAGAAAGAAAAAAGACTTTTCTTTACAAGACACTACTTACATCTTTGACCATGTCTTCTTTTGTTGATTAATGAAATATACTTGGACATACTAGTTTCTAGATATTATTCCCATATTTTTTTTTTTATTTTTTTTATTTATCAAAATAGATATATAGTTGATCTATCTTGAATCT